GACCTCAGGTGCTGTTCGCCTCCATCATGGAGACTCTGGGGAACGAGGCTCTGGGGAAGATCCTCAACCTGCTGGATGAAGTCGGGCTGACGGCAGAGCCGCCGTCGGGCCGCGGCGCCCGGCGACTGCAGACGAGCGTACTCAACGTGCTCAGCAACGCCCACATCGGTAAGTATTGGCCCCGCCCAAAGACTCCACCCCCGAGCCTCAGTGACGTCACCCTCACTGTGTTATGTTTGTGGCAGAGCTCGAGCACTCGTACGGACTCCGGCAGCAGGGCGGCGACTCAGCCACGCCCCCTCAGGTAAGCCTCCTGCTCTGGCTCACCTGTGCTGCGTTCACTGACCGTGACTGAGTGTATGTATATGTGTCCCTGCAGACCAGTTCAAAGCAGGAGGAGGAGGAGACGCCGCTGGTGCTGGCGGTCACCATTAAGGACGAGCACGGGAACATCGACCTGGGCGCAATCGCAGAGAGTGAGTGCTCGACCGCGGCAGGAAGTACGCCCGCACGTGTGATGGTCTGATCAGCTGTGCTTATTCTTTCAGGAGCCGAGGTGGAGGCGGCCCCACCGGACGAGTCGGAGCGGCTGTTGTCCCCATTGAAGGTGACGAGCCCGGCGGGCTTCGTGCTGGAGAGCGTCACCTGGAAGTACTTCACATGCACGGCGTGCGGGAAGTCCTTCTCATCTCAGAGCAACCTCAATACGCACCTGCGCGTGCACACGGGAGAAAAGCCATTTTTGTGCAGCGTGTGCGGCCGCACCTTTCGCCAGCGGCAGGGCATGGAGAGCCACATGCGCACGCACACGGGCGAGCGGCCCTTCGAGTGCCCGCAATGCGGCAAACGCTTCTCCAAGCAGGGCCAACTGAAAGCGCACGCCGTCGTGCACACGGGCGAGAAGCCGCACGCCTGCGACCAGTGCGGCCGCCGCTTCAATCTGCCGCAGAACCTGCAGCGCCACAAGCGGACGCACACAGGCGCCAAGATCTTCGTGTGCAAAGCATGCGGGAAGGGATTCACGCGCGCCGTCACGCTGCGCACGCACCAGCTGATCCATACCGGCCAGAAGCCGTTCAGGTGTGAGCAGTGCCACAAAGCTTTCCGGCACGCCGTCAACCTCAGGAACCACCAGCGCACGCACAGCGGCGCCCGCCCCTTCGCCTGCGACCTCTGCGGGAAAAGCTTCCGGCAGGCGGTGAACCTGAAGATCCACCGCCGCACGCACACGGGCGAGCGGCCCTTCTGCTGCCGCCAGTGCGGGAAGACGTTCAGCCAGCAGAGCAGCCTGATCTCGCACGGGCGCACGCACTCCGGCGAGAAGCCGTTTGCGTGCGGTGCCTGCGACAAGAAGTTCAACAACAGCAACAGCCTGAAGCTGCACACGCGCGTGCACACGGGCGAGAAGCCGTATGCCTGCGACGTCTGCGGCAAGAGCTTCAGCCAGGGCAGCCACCTGCGCACGCACAAGCGCCACCTGCACGCCGGTGGGAAGCAGTACATCTGCGACCGCTGCGGCAAACGCTACGCCGACCAGCGCAACCTGAAGCTGCACAAGTGCGGCTACGCCTGAACGGCCCGGAGGGCTTGAGTGTGCAGGGGGCGGGGCCTCTGATTCGGCAAACAGACTCTGGCTGTTCCTTACACTCTGATTGGTTGCAATCTGAGTCGATGGTTTCAGAGACGGACCGCAGACACCTGTGCAGGAGCACACCTGTCCACCTGCTGCCTTAATGGGACGGCGCGCCGCTTCGGCTTACGCATGACGTCATCACTGAGGTCACTGTGAACACTGATAATACTCAGACGTGAACTTTAATTTGAAAAGGTTTTGATGACATGAAGTGACCTTTCAAAATAAAAGAAGTTTATTTTTTGTTCTGAAATGTTTGTTTATCATTTTTTTAAAGTGACAGTAAGAAGACAAACATCCTGCAGGACGGATCCATGAGTAATAAAAATAATAATAATAATCAATAAAAAGTGTTGGTGATCAATCTGAGGAGCACGAGGTGAGCGACTGCAGCTTCCTGTTTGATCAGCAGGTGCAGCACACCTGTCAGCACATTCCTGAGGCCCATCAAGAATAAAGTCTAAAAAGTTAATGAGAAAAATAAATGTTAATACTTTAAAAGGTGGGGGCATGGTTTGGGTGTGATGTCAGCGAGCGCCGCACAGAACGCCGCCGACCTGTGAAGATTTATGGATAAAAAATTTAGCTAAAAGTATTAACAAATTTATCATAAAAACATTTATCAATCTTCTTGGGGAACTTAAAGAAACAGAAGAAAACATTTTCCCATCGTAAAGAAAACTCCCTTAAAATATGGACAATGACAAAACCCTCCAGCTGTTAGTCATCACGTGTTCCGTGTCACATGACCTACTCCACCTCAGGTCCTCAAGAAGCTTTCAAGGTCCTGGAAGGTGCATAGAGAACACGCCCAGAAAGCATGGCAGGACCTCAGGGAGTCTGAATCCGAGGGAAAATAATCAGATTACACACACAGGCTTTTTCTCTTGAGTCTGTTTGAAGCAACATCGGTGAATCTCCCCGTGGAGGCCTCACGGAGAGCCGTAGGCCGTCTGAGGCGCGCTCCAGTCCAGCAGAAAAAACTGGTCCCGTCCTCCGGCCGCTGGGGGCGCTGTCCTCGTCACAGAAGGGCTGTTACTTACTGTTACTGTTTCCGGGTCTTTGGAGAGCAACGTGTGGAGGCAACCCGCATCTCGGCACCAAAACACTCCGACACTCCGAACCAAAGTGACCGAGCGGGAACGACTGTAGTCCGGCCTGACACATCGGAGACACCGGAACGTCCTGCAGCCATGGGCCCGGTGAGTGAGCGGCTTAAATCCGCCGTTTAATGAACGGAGTCTGGTCTGAGAGAACAAACATGCTCAAAGCGTCTGTGTCCTCACAGCCTGAGTCCACAGAAAAACCCCGCGATCTTAGAGTCAGACTTATTTTAAAACAGCTCCCGGGTGTTCAGAGGGGTACCAGAGCCCCCAAATACCGGCGCATTGAACGGAGTGTGGTCCGAGCACACACGGTGATGCGCCTCCATCAGAGCTGCTTTACGTCTGACAACATCACAGACGGTCACGTGGAAGGA